AATAGTGGGCTGAATAAGTACGAAATGGAAAGACTTTTTCAATAATAACTCTTGCACCACAGGTTTGTGTTTGCTACTTTGAATGTCACATACTTCTTTGTATCTTCCTTCTTTTCACCTGCTTTCTGCCAAAAAATGATTCTTCTAAGAGACAAGAGAATTAATATTTAGACCCAGTGCCTTGAAATAACTCACTAAAATACATAGAAATAAACACCCAGATAAAGAGATCAAAGGAGGGACGACACAACATTATCAAGGTATGAGGAAAAATAAGGCAATGACCTGCAGAATATTCTTCGCGCTTCTTCTTATTCTGTGCTCAAGCGCCGTCCTCTCTCACGCTATGTCCACAGAAGAGCGCGAGAGAAGCAGAGTCATACTCTTTGAACGAGGAGTGACGACAGTTCCATTTGAAGATAATGATGGGACGACATATCAAAGAAGAGTTCATTCATTCCGTATTCCTTCTCTTATTGACGTGGATGGTGTGATGGTCGCCATCGGTGACGCCCGTTATAATGCGTCTAACGACAACTCCTTTATCGAGACAGTGGTAAAGTACAGCGTAGACGATGGGAAGACGTGGGAAACACAAATTGCAATCAAAAACACTCGTGCGAGTAACGTTTCTCGTGTGGTGGACCCTACAGTCATTGTAAAAGGGAACAAGATTTACGTTCTTGTGGCAAGATACAACAAGTCGACAAAGAACTGGGGTCAGCACCCCGATGGCAAGGATTGGGAGCCTGTGTTTTCTGTTGGCGAGGTTAAGAAGACAGCGATAAATGGCAAGGTGAATGCAACGATTACATGGAACAATCCTGTCTCACTTAAATCTATTTTCCCTGAAAATATTGCAGGAGCGGCATCAAAGCAATTCCTTGGGGGTGTAGGGGTTTCTATTGTAACAACAAACGGTACTCTTGTGTTCCCAGTCCAGGCAATGAATAAAATAAATGGAGTCGCTTCAATGATTATGTATTCTCAGGATGATGGTAATACATGGAAGTTCGCAAACGGTATCACTGCGCTGGGTTGCACTGAATCTTCTATTGTTGAGTGGGAGGGGAAGCTCATCATGAACACTCGCGTTGATTATAGCCCCCGCAAAGTCTTTGAGTCCACAGACATGGGGGAGACATGGACAGAGGCTGTTGGTACACTCTCCCGAGTATGGGGCAACTCACCATCACGTAAAGGACCTGGTAGCCAGGGTCCATTCATTCCCGTGACAATTGAGGGGAAGCGTTTAATGTTGTTTACCCATCCGTTGAATTTCAAGGGGATGTGGAACCGCGACCGACTCCACCTATGGGTAACGGACAACAACCGTATATTTGATGTTGGTCAGATTTCCGTTGATGATGAGAACGCCGCCTACAGTTCATTGCTCTACAGGGGTGATAAGTTGTATTGTTTGCACGAAACTAATCTTCAGGAGAATTACAGTCTTGTCTTTCTGGAGCCAAAAGAAGAACTGAACTTGATCAAGTCAGTGGTGAAGACCTGGATCGAGCAGGACAAGAACTTTTCAGACATTTGCACCCCAGTCGACCCAAAGGAACTCTCTGGTGCAAGTGACTGCGACCTCCCGTTCCCCACTGCTGGACTTGTTGGCTTCCTTTCCGATGGGGGTGACGGTAAACAGTGGAAGGACGCATACCGCTGTGTGGACGCTAGCGTGAAAAATGCCAAGAAGGTTCCCAATGGTATGAGATTCAAGGGAGTTGGTGCAGGGGCACTTTGGCCAGTAGGTAAGCAGGGACAGAACCAGCGATACCATTTTTCAAACTACATGTTTACACTGGTAGCGACGGTACAAATCGTTGAGCTTCCGAAGGTCGGCAACCCAGTCCCACTATTGGGAGTGAGTTTGGATGAGGCTGGTGG